TCATCTAATTTAGATAGCAGACTTTGCGCATTGGAATACAAGCATTTTAGCTTTTTTTCCTTTGGTAAGCCGGCTATGACGCCGCCTTTGCCAATTGTCTCGGCTGTGGCGACATACGCACGGGCCGTGTCCATATGAAGCGGGACGGTCGCTCGATTATGCAGTTGTTGTAGATAACCAGGCCTTGTTCGCCATTCGTTTGTCGCAGCCTTAGCTGCTGAACTAACTGTCGGCGTTTTATCCGCTCCGGTGGTGTGTAATCCGGCTGAAAAAAACTCCTTGGTGGGAATATTTTAACCTAAAACGTCTTGAGAGGATGAGACCAACATGCTCTTTGCAACTCAGAACAATTTTAAGGGGCCTAGGATGCGGTGGAATAGCGGGTTCAGTAGAGCGCTTTCCGAGTCTGAAGGCTTTCAACACGGAAATTTCTTCGTCGGGTTGAAGCAGTGTGTTTAGAAGACCTTGGAACAAGCCGAGATCAGCTAATACGCGTTCTTTAGGTGTATCTGCTTGAGGCTCCTGAAGTCCCTGTATTACTAGGCACTGTTCTCGGAGCGGCCGGTCTTGGTTGCGTGATGTTGGCGACTTGGGAGTTCCTGGCGAACCATTCATGATGACATTCTGGTTGCCATCCACTCCAGGGATCTTTTCTGCAGCTAATGGTTTCGTGTTTGGGGCAATACTGCTCATGTCTTTTATGTCAATACAGAGGATATTCGCATTTGCCGCGTCTGTGTCTACGCTGGCGCTGGAGGTTCCTGTCGATTGCTCAGACGAGCTCTGCTTTTCCACCCCAGGAAGTTCCTTTCTTCGGGTACTCCGAAGACGTCCGATTTCCGTCTCTCTCTTTTCAGTCATCAGTCCCCTTTGATTTATCTGCTTCTTTTGATGTGACCTCAGTTGCATGTGAACGGTCTGAGTCTTATTATTAATTCCTTGGTTCTCCTCGGTCACATTGCGGGGGGCAGTGAGCGTCTGCTTTCTGCTCGCGGATTAATATCATGCCTTGTCATATTCTCCGCGATTTCCTCTGAGGTTTCCGTCCATGCAGTAGTCTTTTCTATGTCGAATCCTTTTACCTTCTTCTGTGGTGGAGATCGGACAGCTTCTACTCTGCCAGTGAGCTGGTCATTGTTCTTCAGCTGGGCAGTTCTCAATGATGATAGTGTACTGCCATTATCACTTCGCAACTTAGTTTGCGATTTTGGAGCGTCGTTTATCATCGCTCTTGGTGAGGGTGAGGCTGTATGTTCATGTTTCCGTTTACCTTTTCTCTTAGCACTCTGTTTATTTCTGCAGCCAGCGATCTCCTGAAACGGTGATCCCTCTACTAGTGGGTTGCTGTTAGTCAACTCTGTCAGTTTCGAAACTATCTGTTGGCTACTGCTGAATTCATCAATTGACTTGAATTTATCATACTTTAGTAACAGTGCAATGAGATCTATAAGGAGGTTCATGTTCGTCTCCAACGACGTAATGTTTAACGCGAGATCTCGACAATATTTACACCGCGAACCACAATTTGAAGGTTCATCATCTGGTAGAAAATCTTGTGTAGGCGTGGCGAATTTGCCGGGATAATTTGCGTTGCGGGCCACCTCCGTCCTGTTTTGAACCACTTCTGGCGTACTGCGTTCGTTAGATCCTCCCTGCCCGGCGTGAATCGACGCTGGTCCGCATGGAGTTGCTAGTGCACTATTTTCATGGCAAAATCCGACACATTCCCCAACCGTGGGGCTAATGCAATTAATATTCTTTGAGGTCGTCTCCTCGGTGCTGATGGCCGAGGGTTCTAGGCGTTCGCCTCGTGAGGCGATGGTAGGAGGTTCGACTCCCGCTCCCCACGCCCTTTTTTCATCCCGCGGGACTGATGGATCGTACACTTCTACATTTCCCATGTCTCAATGCGCCAAAGTCAAGGATACAACAACGGCCGAAAGGTTTGCAGCAGAAGACAGACACAATCAAAAGAAGGCCTAAGGCTTTCAGATGTCAGGGAAGCTTTAGGCAACGGAAATCTAAGCGGATGCTTCGAGACTTCAGACAACAGAAACCTAGTCGAATTTATAAATTCGACTGCCGTTATAACGGCACTACAGTTAACAGAAATTTAAGCTAATGCTTTGAAGCAAAGGTACAGCTAAAGTCTAATTTCGAAGTGAGACTCAGCCTTTGTTCTGTGCGTTTCGTTTGCTGGAAGATTGGTCTTTTTAGGCTCGTATGCAGAACTGGTAGAGTCGAAGTCCACGTTCTGCAAAGGTGGTGTCGTAAATTGATGACGATGCGAATATTGCTGTCTGTGAATCAATTTTCTAAAATCCGTTTGACTGCAGGAGCATCCAGAGTGCGGAAATCTCGAACAATATTAACCCCTCGGAGGACGAAAATTTGAAACCAAATTCGAAACGCGCGCGGATAAAAGGAAATGGAATCAATAATTACATCAGCAAATGCGGAAATTCAAAAGGTAACAGTAAGTGTGAGCCAGGCGCAAACTGCCACCGCTAACACCATTTTGAGTATATATACAGTGGTTTCTCAGCAAATGAGCATCTAGTCTACACTTAAAGGATTCGGCAGTTTCGGAAAGAACCACCGCATCAGGCAGTCCATTCCATGCTCCAATGAACCTGTGAGAGAAGGCGTTCCGTCGGACGTCCGAATGAGCCAGCTCCTACTGCAGTTTGAAGGGATGACCTCGTGGACGGTCAGTTCCGGCCGATTCGAAGAAATCATCAAAGTCTAGGGCGAACTCACGGCCTCTGACAATCCTGCCGCGCAGTGGCCTGTAATTGAGAGGAAACAAATTTAGTTCGGTCAACCTGGTTTCGTAAGGCAGATTATTAAGATTCTTGACCATCCTTGTAGCCACCGCCTGTACTCTTTCCAGTCGTTGATAGTCTTTCTTCAACCACGGTCGCCAGGCCTGGACTGCATACTCTAAATGAGACCGGACGAATGCCCCATAGGTTTTTCCGAACAGCTCTGTATCGATCTTCACAAATCCTCGCCTCAGCGCAAATAACACCCTTGCCGCCGAGGTCCTTCTGTTCCACGACATTTGAAAGGGGCTTCCCGCCCAGAACGTATTGAAAGGAATCGTCCTCCTTAGTGGTCTTTTCGGTGCGGAGTCTCTGGACCACACATTTGTCCACATTAAAATTAGGGAGTCAACGAGCTGACCAACTGTTCAGGCGGTTGAGACTGTCTTGAAGCGCGTACCTGTCTGCGTCAGATGTGATGGCTCTCCACAGCTTAACATCGTCAGCAAACATGATGGCGCTACATCCCAGGTCGTCGACGCAGTCGTTAATGTAAACCAGGAATAGCAACGGCCCTAAGACGGAGCCCTGGAGTACACCACTTAGAACGGGGGTAGGAGTTGACCTCGAGGCCTCAACGCACACGGTTTGTGATCTGCCTGTAAGAAAATCTGTTATCCATGTCAGCAGCCTTCTTCTTATCCCGATTTCAGAAAGTTTGTAGATTAGGCGTTTGCGTGGGACGCTGTCGAATGCCTTCTTGAAGTCCGTGTAGATGCCATCGACCCTACCATCCTCGTCCAGTGCGCGAGTCCACTGCTCCGTCGAGGGCAATAGGCTGGAAAGGCACGAACGCTTCTGCCTGAAGCCGTGCTGCAGGTCTGAGAGTAGGTGGTTCTGCTCCAGGAAGTTCATTGTCGCTTTCTTAACAATGGCCTCCATGATTTTACAGCAGATGCAGGTGAGACCTAGAGGTCGATAATTGTTAGCATTAGTGCGAGCCCCGCCCCTGTATATCGGAAAGATATTTGCTGTATTCCATTCCGATGGCAGCCTCCCTAATTCGAATGACGAGCGGAAGATGTGTGCCAGTAGTTTGGAGAGTTCGTTCGCCAATTCTTTCAAGAATTTGGCCGGTATATTGTCCGGACCCGAGGACTTTGCCTCTTTGAGATCTTCCAGCCCCATTTCCACAATAGCTGTCAGAATTAGTATGGAGTCCAGCACGGGACCAGCGGTCTCAACGGCATTGCTGTCACTGCGACTACGAAAGTCTGTTTCCCTAGTAAAAACCGAGACAAAATACCGTCCTAAGTGTTCGGCTTTCCCGCTATTCTCAATGATTTCTACATCATTATCATCCTTCAGTACTGCGACCGGGTCCTTGTTTTTCAGTCTACTGTTAACATAGTGAAATAAAATCTTGGGTTTCTGTTCAGCCTGTCGGATAATATTGGATTCATATTCCTTCCGTGCCTGATGGATACATTTTTGACTGCGTTTCTTTGACGACGAAATTCGTGGAAATGCGCTGGTGACACAATTTCCCTGAATATTTTCCATCTTTTGTTTTTCTTCCGCAACTGCCTATTTAGGTGCCTAGTTAACCAAGCAGATCGACTAGTTGCTTTTGTAGTTTAGGTGGACAACAGGGCCGAATTAGATAGAGTGAAATCGTCTTAGAAGATCTCCAGTCGTCCTACGGATCTACCCCGAGCAAACGATCCCAATTCACGGACATCAATTCGTTCTTCATCGTGTTAAAATCAGCCTTCCATATATTAGGTTGGCCCTCTGTTCTCTTCGGGCGTTGAGAGAAGAGCGAGTAATCGCATAGTAGCGTAATATGGTCACTTTTCACGAGAGGTGCATTGGAATACACTTCGTCGATATTAGGGAAGTCTTTGGTTTGACGTTTTAGGGATATTGCGCTTTTTAAAATAAATCGACATTTCTAAACAACACAACACTACCTATAATATTCTTTTATGCTTTACATTCTCTTAAATTTGTACTTAATTAACATAGACATTTGACTCATGAAATGATGTCGGTTTGCGAGTGATTGGCAATCATTCGTAAATTTTGGACACAGTTCATGATTTAGGTCACTAACTGTAGGCCCAGGCAATTCGCTCTCTGGTTCTCTCAAAATCTTTTGGTACCCTCACATGTTGCGCCAGAGGGAGATCGCTGACCGTTTCGGTGGCCAGGTCCTGCGGCATCGAAGTAAAGAGGGAAGTGACGTCAAATGATACCATGACCCCGTCTGCAGTGAGTCGCGTTCCATTGAGCCGTTCCAGAAACTGAGTAGCTAAACAGACCGTTGTGGCTGCGCCCGAGGTGAGAGGCCGCAGGTGTCGGTGTAATATCCAGCTTGTCCTCGTCCTTTATGGGCTTCAGATCGTCGGTGCCTTCGCAGTCCTTCGGCGGACGACCAACTGAGAAGGGCTCGTCATGGATTGATTCCGTGTCCCAGACGACATGATAACACAGTAATCCAGCAACAATCGTCAGCAGGAGTGATACAAGGAGCAGTTTATTGTAATGGAATAAGAGTAACACGGAAAAATGGAGTTACAAGGGTGTTGCAGATTCCTTTATTAGCGTTAGTCAAGGGACGTCTCTCTGACAGCATAATTCTGATCAGTATCTGGCTGAACCAGGGGAAGTGTAGAGCTGGAGACTGCTACAGGGGTTGGGACGCGATTCTCACCAGTCGAATCTGAAACTGACCAGAAATCGGGGACCTTCCTAAAACAACAAAAGGACGGATCAGTTCAATTCTGCCATACCACACTTCCCTCCCTTTAGGAGGGGGCCCTGTCCGCAGGGTCCCGAAGGATAGCTGGTAAAGAGTCCTGTATGGTTATGGGGGGGGGGGGCACCAAAGCGACAGATCCAGTCACTAAAGAAAGCAATTTTTACTGATAGGGCATCTTGTCTGCGAAGTGGTGTGGCTTCTGCCCACTTGGTGAAATAATCTACCATGACTAGAATATATTTATGTCCCGAGGTCGAATAGGTCAGCGGTTCAATTATTTCGACACCAACTCTTTGGAAAGGGAAACCTGTGATCATAGGCTGAAGGGGCGCGCGAAAACGCTGCTGAAGGGCTTTAAAGGATGCACAGGTAGGACATGTGTCACAAAAAGCGATCGCCTGTTCACGCAGTTGTGGCCACCAGAAACGCTGTCTGACTGCTTGTTCACTTTTGGCCTGGCCCACATGACCTAGTTCATAATGTAAGTCGGTTAAGACAGGGATCACCAAACTCCCCGGCACGACAACACTAGGTGTAGATGTAACGGTATCTTTAAAGAAGAGCAAGCCATTGTCAATGAAAAGTTTGGACCACTGGTTACGTAGGGAATGTGCGGCCTCTGATGATCCTTCAAGGTCCTCGTCAGTGGGCCGATGTCTGCCCGTACGTTGATGATTATATACGATTGCTGTGTCTGGATCGGTGCCTTGTGCAACGGCCCAATGATACCGTGTGGGTTCGCTTATGTGCACCGCATTGATTGTATCAATCGGTTCCTCGGTCGCATCTGATGTCGATTGGTCAGTACGGCGAGATAGGGCATCAGCGTTAGCGTGTTTAGTTCCTGGTCGGTACTGACAAGTGAAAGTAAATTGTTGAAGTGTTTCCTGCCATCTTGCTAACTGTCCTTCTGCGTCCTTCGTATTCTGTAGCCACTGTAGGGCTTTGTGATCAGTTCGCACAATGAAAGGTTTGCCAATTAAGAATGCTCGAAACTGTCTAGCGAACGTTATTAGGGCCAGAAGTTCGCGGCGGTAGGTACAGTAGTTACGCTGCGGCTTGGATAACATCTTACTCGCGAAACATATAGGTCGTTCGGTCCCGGTGGGATCAGCCTGTGATAGTACGCCCCCCCCCCCATGGCAAAACCACTGGCATCTGTGTCCAAGATAAACGGCGCTGCGTCTGCATCAGTGTTCGGCAATGTGCGTATGGATGCGGAGACGAGTTGAGCTTTGAGATCATCAAAGGCAGTTTGGCATTCGTCAGTCCAACTAAACTTACGTCCTTTTTCGGTTAAACGATGTAGGGGTCGAGCTACTGATGCGAAAATGTAGGATGAACTTCCGATAATGAGATGCTAATCCAAGGAAACTGCGGAGTTCCGTCATGGATTTAGGAGTTGGCCATAGTTTAACAGCATTGATTTTCTCCGGAGAAGCGTGAATACCTTCTTCAAAAATTTCATGCCCCAAATATGTAACTTTATCCCGTAGAAATTTGCACTTTTGTGGATTCAGGCGTAAGCCCGCATCGCGCAGTGCGACTGGGACGACCGTGAGGTTTTGATTATGTTGGGCTATCGTGCGTCCAAAAACGATAACATCCTCTAGATATAGCAGACACTGGTTTGGCAGGAGCTGGGCAAGCACAAGTCGCATTAGGCGTTGAAATGTGGCTGGGGCATTTCATAAGCCAAATGGCATCGTCTCAAATTCAAACAGTCCGTGTGGAAGGGTAAATGCTGTCTTGTGTCGGTCTGTAGGCTCTATTTCAACCTGCCAGTACCCTGATTTAAGGTCTAATGTAGAAAACCAGCGTGCGCCTGCCAGTGCGTCAAGGGTTACGTCGATTCGCGGAAGTGGAAACAAGTCTCGAGTAGTCAGCGCATTTAATCTGCGGTAGTCGATACAAAGACGTAGTTTCCCGTCTTTTTTGATACAAGTGTGACGGGAGATGCCCAGGGTGAGTTTGACGGCCGTATTATTCGGTTCCTAAGCATAAAATCAATAAGTTGATTGACTTCCTGGTGGAAATGGGCCGGTATTCGTCGAGGTGGTTGCCAGACCGGTTTGGCACTGCCCGTGTCGATGGAATGTCTCAGATATGCTGTTCTACCCAATGAGTCCTCATCCCACGCGAAGACCTTGGCGAAGTCTATAAGTAAGGTTCTCAACGTCCCGCGACCGTGAGTGGTTACACCTGTGGTGTCAGGCAACATAGTGTCAATGTGGATAGTTGTTAAGGCAACGTTAGCTTGAATAACGGCACAGACTGCGTCTTCGTCGAACGTAGGCGGAATGAACTGTGTGATACAGGGTGGCTTGTGAAATTCGATGGTACGCTGACGGACCTGAATGGTACAATCATATCGGCCGAGAAAATCGAGTCCTAGCAAAACATCCCAGGTTAATCCTGGCACTACCAAAAAGGTGTGATCTTTCAATCCGGACTGGAATGTAAGTTTCAACGAGATATTGCGGACACAGTTTAAGCGAGAGCCGTCGGCGGTGGTCAAACGTGTGAGCTGGGGTCTTGTGTCCATCTACGCATTTTTGGCGTGTGATAGTACCTGTGGGTTTACTAGAGATATCGTCGCCCCCGTATCGATTAACGCTCTAATTCGGCGCTCATTGAGGGAAATATCAATATAGAATGGTTGTATCGTAGCATGAAGCTGAGTGACAAGTGGAATCGAATACGTATCCGATCCAGTGAGCCTGTTGTGTGTGCTTGGCTGTGGATTATCACACGCACAGACCTGCCGATTGTAGGATTGGTCGTAACCGCCGCGTTTGGGATATTGTGGCCGGTTGAAGGGGCCGGATCGGTTCTGGTTACCGGTGTCGTATCGCCGCCAGTTTTGTCCTTGGGAATTCCTGAAGGATGGTTGGGAGGAGAGTTCATTATGTGGAATTTTAGCATATATGCTGACGCGGCTAATGGCTTCCTTTAAGTCGCGGGGCGGTTGTAGGAGGAGTGAACGCCGTAGTTCTGGGGGTTCTATATACTTAATAAAGTGATAGAGTACGTCATAAGATGAAGATGCGATCGCTGGGACAAGAAGTTTATTTGCCTGACGTTTCGGATTCTTACTCGAACTAATCATCAGAGACATTCGCAGATAGAGGTGAAGGTGGCACCAGGAGTGCAGTATTTATAGCACGTGGCTGCCGTGGGACCGTATGCGCACTGCAATTAACAGTTCTCACAATCGCCGCTGGGGCCGTAATTGATGCGGCGGTGACTTGGCGGTCCGAGTCCGAGTTGTTAATTGCCGCGATTTCGTCATCCGTGCTCGATGCTGGTGTGACGATTGCTCGGCAAACTGGCTCACTGTCACCGTGATAATTGCTCACCCGCACCCTCCCCATGTGACTGATTCTCCTGCCCAGGGAAAATCGCAATACGGAATAGGCCACCGGGAGGTCATTATGGTTGTTGGTGGATTGCGGGCCTGAGAACCATGACTCGAGCAGCTCGCGGCTCACGCGGTTGTCACCCCTTGCGAGGATTTCGGCCTCTTGAAATTTGAAATTATGGCCGGGTCCCGTCGAGTGTGCCGCCACCTGAGAGTTAGCGTCTC